TATATATAAAATTTCCAACAAGATAGCTACATATCTTCTGCCTGCAGGTGATAAATATGCAATGGATTCAGCTGTCGCTTTAATAACATGCCTGTAGCTTCTGTATTCCAAGAAGGGTAATTTATAAGCACAGCTCTTGCTGCAGAAGTGGATCTCCCACTGTTTCCTCTTTTCAAGACTACAGTGATGAAAATACTTAAATCTATCAACATTCGCCAGCAGTCACTTTCAAAACCATCTCGATAAGTAAGGATTTTAAAAACAAACACTCTTGAGGGTATCAAAATTAGATAAACCACCTTAGATTTACACATGCCCATCTGCACCTCAAGTGACAACCTGCCTTTGGGAGTGATCCATACTAATAAAACACACACATGCAAATGCCTTCACAGAAAGAATCTATACATAGGTGGGGACAGTTTTCCTGAGAATTTGCGCTCTGACCCTAGCCACCCTTAAACAAAGGCTACTTGTTTCTCACATACGCAGGACAGTTGACTTATGCTTCTGGAAGATGTGGGCTTCTCTCTTTTCCTCCATCATAAACTAACATCCACACCTCTCCTTATTTCAAGTGTTATGAACTTAACTTTGCCTTGCACTGAAGCCTTTGAAAACATATGGTTACAGATCCAATTCAAAATTTAACTGCTCTCCCAGATGCTGCGTCCCTGAGCAGGGCCGCTGCTCAAGACTGGTGTGGAGAAGGGCTTACTCTGTGGATTGCAAATAGCAACAGTTGCTACTGTACTTGTGGTCAATTTCATTTCACTTGGATGCGCCTCATGCTGACATTCTCGCCTTATAAAAGCTGACAGATACGCAAAGCCAGTGAATAATATGCCTTGTACCAGTACAGTATCACGCGGCAAAAAAGCATGTGGCTCTGGATAGCAACATAGACATCAACATATAACAAACTGGTAACCTAAGCAATCACATACGGGTTCAGTTTCCCTTTACTAGTCTCGGTCAGACAGCAGGAAACGTAGAGCACACACTTGAACAAGTTCTAAGGTTAAAGTGAACAAATAACAGACCTCAAAACACATCCCCTCCCTTCCCCAAACTCAAATCAGTCCTTTCTTTCTAGTGTTCTCTAGACTGCTACCATTCAACAGCTTCTCCCTTCCCATTCAATCATTTACCATCAAAGCTCTTAAAGGTAACTAAGAAGTAATGTCTTGTAACAAAGTTTCCATGCATTGGGAGGGGGGGAGAGGGAGAAGATGAGGAAGCTCCTTCAAACTAGTTCAGCATAAAAACCTTAGGGTGAACAACATTATTTTCTTCAATCATTTTGGGGTAAGAGATTAAGGGAAAGTAATCTAACCATTAAAAACAAAACAAAGCAACAATAAATAGAGTCCATCCCTATATACAATTAGCAATACTAAGCAGATACAGGAATAAACGTATTGCTAGCACGCCTCCTGACGATCCACGCTCTGTTGCTTAATCCCAACAGCAAACCATTTTCAGCCCAAACTGACACTATTCTTGCAAGACAAACGATGGCTAGAGAAAGAGAGGAGCAACTACCTTCACTGATACATTGCATGGAATGGGAAGCTCCTGATGTAGCAAATTGGGAAGGAACCAAGACAAGCAGAAGTACAGCCACATCTTCACTCATCAAGAAAGTGTTTTTAAACAAGCTAAGAAAATGCCTTAATTACCCGTATGTCACACATCATTGCGGTTTTATCCTAAGGGACAAATGCAATCACAGGAGAGAGTTCTGATCTCACCTATTCACCTCATAGCATGAATGATTTGTCTCCTTATAGACTTTACAGTGAAATAGCAAGCATTCAATTTTTTTTTTAACGAAAAAAAAAAAAAAAAAGGCCACCTCATCTGGCCAAGACAAAGCCGTATTTGTTCTCCCTGAGGAAACAATAGAGTTGGATTGCATTCTAAGATTCTACTGTGGTCCAAAACATAAAACAGAACAAGCAGCATTATTCAAACTCCAGCATTACTCAAAAATGAGTTTGTTGTGAAAATACACATTTCCCATTGATCGCTTAAAAAAAAAAAAATCTTAAAAATCTCTAGGAAAAGGCCACCCCTTACAAAGAGAAAGCAAAGCCAGCTGCTTCAGTTAAAAGACCAACTAGTTTTTCTACTCAGCTTGCTTGGTGTTTGGAAAGGCAATACACACTTGCCATACAGCTTACCCCACCTGCTTCAATCTTAAATTTGACCCATCACATTCACGAAGAGCAAAGTTCAGGCTCCATGATTTATGCTAGTAGTTCCCAAATTTTTTTTATTTTTATTTTTTTAAAGATAGTGTGAAGGAGCTGAGGGAAGCTTAAGTTCCATGTCCAGCTCACCATCTCAAAAACTACTTCCTAGGGTGCATGCTTTCCCCAACGCATATTCGGAAAAGGTGATTAGCGTGCAAGAAGGCAACTACGTCAGAGTTTGGGAATGTAGCTGCCCAGCCAAAACCTTCCACAGCAACAAGAACGAAGCAGAGGAAGCCCCTTGGCTGCCAGGAACTCTGCATGCTGCCCCTAACTACTGAGCTCCAGCCACGGCCTTCTCACATACCTTCAGCTCAAAGCTCCAGGTACACTCATCCGGATTCCTGGTGCTTACAGACAGTCTATCTCCTTCACTTTCATCAGTACTTTAATAGAATTCTTAATCTGTCTACAAAGGAATCCAGCAAAGGAGACCAACAGTGAAAACATAAGATTATAAACTCAACTAATACCAAGCGCGCCGAAACGTTCTTCACTTAAAACAATGAGCATCAAGTGAGTAGCTAGCATCAGTCATGCCTGATGCAGCCTGAGTTTGAACTAAGTGACCGGGTAGGTAATGAAGTCAGATGTGACATCTGACAAAAGATGGTGAGGCAAGTAAGAAAGCAGGAATTCAGCTTAAAGCAACTGAGCTAATTTGAAGGTGTCTACTGCACCAAGTATCATCTTTGGAAGGACAAGCAGATCCATGAAATCTGGCTACTTGTAAAGGAATCTAATGAATATTTCTTAAGAAAATTAAAATACATTTTTACAGTGCAAATAAGCTTTATCCTAAAATTTCATATGGCAAACTGCAAAAAGAAAAGCAGGATCCTCAAATAACCCACGATCAGGCATAAACTAGATTGAGCTGGCACCACTGATTTTATCTGCCATATTATTCACAAGCTGGGTTTTCAGTTGAATAAGAAAATGAATAGAATTTAAATCTAAGAGGACTGTTTCCAGTCTCTCCAGTACCCAAAAGAACACTAACAGCTTTTCAGTTATTTTTTTTTTTTTACGGCATGCCAAGGCCAAAAACCATCGTTATTAGTGAATCATGAAATAGGTCATCATCTATCTTCTCTCACCACACCAGACTCATGGCACAGTACACAGGCTAATGGATTAATTACAGAGCCTCAGGAAATGAGAAAGGCAATAAGGCAGACGATCACAGCAGGGAACACATTAATGGCCTTTTTATCTTGCAGAATAAATCTGTTTATCTGATATTTCAAAGGCACAACGTGGCAATTAACTTTTCTGTTTGCAAACTGACACTAACGCTTTGTGCTGGAGCTATAATTAGTTACCATCAGCATGGCACTGTAGCAACTTTAACACTGAGGTTAGCCTAAGCAGCCAGTTTCTGAGAAACTCGATCCCTTTTCCAGGCCCCATACTTCACCAAGAGCCAGTTTCTTAGGTCACGTGGAATCTTTCAACTTTCCACAAGTTCAGGTTTTCTGCACACATCAGAAACTGGAAGGGGTATTAAAAAAAAAAAAAAAAAAGTCTCCTAAAC